CAATCACCAGCCAGGCCAAGGGACCCACCCGTGCACGAATTTGTGCACTAGGTCTCTAGTATGTTTTTAAATGTTCTAAACCCAGTAAAACAGGGGTGTTAATATCTTATTTGACCATTTATCTTTTAAAGGAATTAAGAGAAGAAAGGAGAAAAATACATTTAAAGCATCTTAATATTAACCTAAATATTAACATATCTGGTATTCCTCATTTCTTCATATGGATTGTTTCTGCCTGTCATTTTTTTCTACAGTGTAGCTCTAGCCCCTCCTTCACTTTGCCTTTGTGCTCTTTATAATATTTATTACATCTTTATACAGGGTGGGACAAATGTAGGTTTAGAATTGTTCATATGGAAAATAATAAATAAATAATGACTAATAATATAAGAATAAACTGTTTTACATGCAACTGTAAACCTACTTTTGCCCCACTCTGTATATTATAAGCTCAACCATACAACTTTATAATTATTACTTTGTGAAGTTATCTTTTAAATCAGTTAAGGAAGAAGGCAGAAATAGATACATTTTTACTGTTTTTTACATTTACTATACTAGTGTAATGACAGTTGCCATTGCTCCTTTTTTCTTATATGGCTTTGGCTTTGAGTTACCATCTGGTATGGCTTCATTTCAGCCTAATGAACTTCTGTGGTATTTCTATTTCTCACACGCTGATCTCCCAGCGGTGAGTTTTCTCACTCTTTTTAAATTTGGGATTTATTTATTTCACCTTCATTTTTTTAAAGGATAATATTACTGCATGCTGAATTTTTGCTTGACAACTTGTTTTGTTTTTCTTTTTAGCTCTTTGATATGTCATCTCATTGCCTACTGGCCTGTGTTCCTTCTGACGAAGATTAAGCTATTAATCTTATTTGAACTTGACCAATAAATAGTGAGTGGTTTTTCTCTTGCTGTTAGGATTTTCTTTTTGACTTGGCTTTTAACAATTTAATTAGATGTGTCTTGGTGTGGATATCTTTGTAATTATCCTACTTGGAGGCTATTGAGCTTTTTAGGTGTGTAGATTAATGTTTTTCATCAAAATTTGGTAGTTTTTGGTCATTATTTAAATCTTTTTTCTCTATTTCTCTGTCTCTTCTCCGTCTGGGACTCATTTTATATGCACATTTGTTTGTTTGAGGGTGTGCCATAGGTCTGTTGAGGTTGTCTGTGTGTGTCCCCCCCGCCCCCCCCCACACACACACACTTTTCTTCTTAACCATTGTTCAAGGTCTCTGATTGCCCCCCATTCGTTTATATTTTCTGTTGAGACACTCCAGTGAGATTTTAAATTTGCTATTGAAGTTTTAAATTCCAGAATTTTCATGTGTTTTTCTATAATTTATATTTCTTAGTACCTTCTTTTGATGATCCATTCATTGTCTTTGCACGGATTCTCTTTAGTCTTTTGAACGTATTCATAATAGCTGCTTTCAAGTCTTTTTCTGCCAAATCCAAAATTTGGGTCTCTCAGGCCCAGATTCTGTTGACCACTTTTTTCCTCTGTGGTCAACATCTCTCTCTCTCTCTCTCACACACACACACACACACATTTTCCTGTTTCTTTGTATGTCTTATAAATTTTTGTTAACAAGTGGACATTTCAGAGAATATATTATAGCAAATCTGAATTCTGTTCACTCCCTACAAATGTGGTGATTTTGGGTATTTCTGTTTATTTGCTTTTAGTGAATCATGTGGATTAATTCTGTAAAGTCTTTCGCTTTCTTCTCAGTTTTTGGTTCATTTTAAAATTTTTGTTTTTATTTTTAAGCCTGGTTTTCTTAGCCTTGCAATTTGTGTGCCTCAATTTATTTGCCTTTGACCAATTTGCCTTAGCCTTGCATGTAGGTTAGCTTATTTTAGTTGTCAGCCATATGATTGGTCAGTTTATTAGTTCATTCTGGATTTTACTTCATGCATTTGCAAGGCTTGGTGTTGAGTCAGGAACTAGTAACTCTCTAAGACCTTTCTGGTCTCTGCTGTCAGCCTTTCCCAGGAGCACAGACCCTGGACCACCAGCAATAAGTAGATCTTATCATTGCCTACTTTTGTTGCCTTCTTCCACCGACCTCCCTGTTAATTTTGTGACTGATCTTCCAGGTCATCTCTTGCTCCCCCAGTATAGAGACCTTAGTCTAGTTGTGATTTTAGTTTTATCTCTTTGTTTGCCGCTGAGATCTCTCTGTTTTGACAATGATTGAAGGCAGGGATGGGGAGCGTCCAGCCCATGGGCTGTATAAGGCCTGCGAAATCATTTGCTCTCGCCCTGCCAAGGCATTAGGGGTGAGTTAATGAAATGTTTAACCAAATACAGCAGGCTAACTTTCAAGTTAATAATTTTGTATGGCCCGTGAATGATGTTATAAACATCCAAGTGGGCCTTGGCAGAGAAAAGGTTCCCCACCCCTGCTGTGAGGCATGGAATTGAAGTCCCTGTCCCCTCTCTCATACCACTTCTACTCCATGGCACAGTGGGGGTGCAGCTCCGGACTGAAACTGCACAGGCTTCCGTTGCTCTTACTGATGGTCAGTAGATTTTCTTGAATTAAATGTTTCTCAATTTATTTGCCTTTGACCAATTTCTAGAGTCCGTAAGTGGTTGTTTTAACTATTTTATCCACGTCTATCTTTTTTTTCGGGGGGAGAGGATTTGCTGAGCTCCTCATTCTATCATTCAAGAAATCCTGCCTTTAAAACCACATATAGTATTTGATATTATAGAAGGATTCTGTGTTAACTTGGTATTGATCTGCTTGGTCTGCTATAACAAAAGACCACAGACTGGGTGATTTAAAATAGCGGTTGCCAACCTTTCAAACCTCACGGACCACTGGTTGGCAACTGCTGATTTAAACAACAGAGGTTTATTTTCTGACAGTTCTTGAGGCTTAAAGTTCAAGATTAAAGTGTCAGCAGGTTTGTTTTCTGATGAAGGCTCTCTTTCTGGCTTGCAGACAGCTGCCTTCTCACTGCGTTCTCGTGGCCTTTCCCCTGAGTGTACTCAGAGATTGATTTTTTATTTCTCCTCCTCTTGCAAGGATACAAGACCTATCAGATTACAGCCCCACCCTTATGACCTCATTTAACCTTAATTACATCCTTTAAGGCAGCCTCTCTCCAAATAGTCAAATTTGGGTGGTAGGGCTTAAGTGTATGAATTTGGGAGAGATACATTTCAGTTCATGACAAACTTCATGGTTCTCAAACCTTGCTACATACTATCCTTGTCTCAAATTCACCTCACACTCTGAGTAAGTAGTTCCATTGTGGATAGGGGTCTCTGCGACAGGAATCTATGCAGCCAGATAGGTATCATCAGCCTGGGGGTGGGAACACTCTACAAATCCCTCAAAGAAATTAAGTGGTTACTAATTTTCACTTATAAATAATACTGCAGTGGACAATCACTTACTGGACACCTGCATCTCTGTGTACTTGTCCTGTCATTGCTTCAGGACAGATATTGAGGGGTAGAGTTTTCAGGTTAAAATCGATACTATATTACTTTCCAGAAAATGTTAACACTTCACCAAGTATAGGAGCGGAGGCATTTTCTCCATATGAATCCTGAGGTCACAGTGTTCGCATTCCAGCAGGATGTACTGTGAAGCTCCTTTACTGCTCTTTGCTAGTAAATACTCGCGTGTCACTTTGACATTTTAAAACTTTTCCCCCACTTGCTACAGAAAGATCCAGTGTCTAGTGGTAGAAATGAAAGTAAAGAGTTCCTACAGAAATGGTTTTTAGATGGAAATAGTGTTGTGAGTGATACTTCAGAGTCTAGATGAAAGTCTTATTACCTCATGTGAATGGCAGCTTTGTTGTGCGTGAAAGGTTATCATTGGAAAGAACCACTGGCATGGGTTTTTGCTTGGTTCTCAGAAGTGAAGTGTTTAGGTAATTAAATGCTTCAGAGAATGCAATGTGGTTCAAGGACAGACTTTCTCATGCCCAGTCATACATTAGGAAGGTGGGAAATGCCATTGGATGTCTTGGGCTAAGGCTTAAGTAAACTTTCTTCTAATTGGTAGGTTTCATAATGTTTGTACATTGGACAGGTTTTGAAATAAATTGTTTTACAACTCTGAAGCTCTAAAGAAATATTTAGGATGCAAGAGCATACCTCTTTTTATATAATCCCACATAAGTTAAAGGTTGTAGTGTATAGTAAATGTGACAGAAAGATCAATTTTTTTTTTTTTTTTAGTATATTATTGATTTCAGAGAGGAAGGGAGAGAGAGAGATAGAAACATCAATGATGAGAGAATCATTGATCAGCTGCCTCCTGCACGCCCTCTACTGGGGATCGAGCCTGCAACCCAGGCATATGCCCTTGACCTGAATCAAACCTGTGATCCTTCAGTCCACACACAGGCTGACACTCTGTCCACTGAGCCACGCCGGCCAGGGCAGAAACAGCAATTTCTTTTCTGTTCATTCTATTCCATTAAGTTAGTCATGTGCAAAAGTGTCTGGAAATTTGAGCCCACACCTCACATCGCCCTTACTCGTATTAACAGTGCTACTCTGAAAGCTACTGTAACCAGGTTTATTTTTATTCAGAGGTACTGTGATGGAAATTAGATTGTAAAGCTTATCTTGTAAAATGCAGTTACATGTACTTAAACACATTGTATGCGGGTAACTTATTTATACGTTTTACGTATTTATACGTTCTACCAGTGTAGTAGAGCACGGGACACGTATTAATACGTTTTTTATAGACTAGCGGTAGAATGCGGGTAGCGTATAAATACGTAAACTAAAGTTATCGTAATTTTACTGAACGTTGCCATTTGCGCAAAAAATTAGCAAAAATGGCCCGCGCCACTTGTTAGCGCACGATAAAAACTACCCGCAAACAATGTGTAAATCAAGAAAGAACTTGAATGAGGTTGTGGCATTCTCTTGCCAAGGCAACATCATTAAAAGGAAAATAATGATAGGGTTTGAAATGTTATTTCTGAGATTTTTTTTTTCTTCCTAGAAACGGCGACTTGAACATAGTAAAAATGTAAATACGGAAAAACTACGAGCCCCTGTTATTTGTGTACTTGGACATGTGGACACAGGGAAGACAAAAATTCTAGATAAGGTAAGAAAGTGCTGTTATGCATTGATACAACTTTTAAAACGAATGATGACTTATGAAAAGTTAATGTAAACCATGGCACATATATGCAGTTCTCTTTACAATAAATACGTTACTACTTCCTTTTTGTGTTTGCTTCCTTTTGCATTTTGAAATACAAACCTGAATCTGCTGTCTTGCCCCAGCTCCGTCACACGCATGTACAGGATGGTGAAGCAGGTGGTATCACCCAGCAAATTGGAGCCACCAATGTTCCCCTTGAAGCTATTAATGAACAGACTAAGATGATTAAAAATGTAAGTATACTGTATCTCATATGTTTTACTCTCTAAAAAGATGTAAGCTATTTCAAGCATAAGAAAAAGAACAGAATAGTATAACAGACCTATATGCTCACCATTCATAATTACTATGCCATTTTGTCCTATTTTGCTTCAGATCTTTCTTAAGCAATAAAACATTAGATATTGTAGGACCCATCATATTTCATTTCCTTTCCTCTTACTCCAGGAGATCATCACTATTCTGAAGTTAGTATAGCCTTCCCCTCCATGTTTTAACACTTTACCACCTAGCTCCATGTTTCAAAATTGAGTTCTGCCCTGACCAGTGTGTCTCTCAGTGGTTAGAGTGTTGGCTGTACATTGAAGGGTCTTGGATTCGATTCCTGGTCAAGGGCATGTACCTGGGTTGCAGGTTCGATACCCGGCCCTCGTTGGGGCTCGTGCAATAGACAACTATTCGATGTGTCTCTCTCTCACATTGAAGTTTCTCCTCCTCTCTCCCTCCCTCCCTTTCACTCTCTCTCTAAAAATCAATGGGAAAAATATCCTTGGGTGAGGATTAACAACAACAAAAAAATTTTGAATTCCCTCCCCATCAAATTATATATCAGATTAATTACATATATGTATTTTACCTTCCTTATTTTCTCTGTTCTGGAGATATTTTATCTATTTATGCTAATTATAACACAAAGATCATATAAGATTAATGTAAAGCTTAATGAATCATGATTAATGCAGACACCCTTTGCATCACCGATGTTAGGAGAACGGAGTCTTGCCAGTTCCCTCAGAAGCACTCTGCCCTTTTCTGGTCAGTCTTTCCCCCTGGAGTAACTTTTAAAGTAACCTCTAGCTTTTATTGTGTTAGTGGTCACAGAATGTTGATATTCCAGTCCCTTCAACCCCCCCTATGGATTACTTCTGTAGAGAAACTCTGTTTAATCTACTTCTTTGTTACTAGGTATAGGAAAGACAAAAATAAGCATCTGATACTTTATCAGCTTTCAAAATAGTGACCACTTTGGCTTGGTTTTGTATTATAAACTCTTGGATTTAAACATGTTTACTGTGTTTTAATCCATTTCAGTTATATCGTGCTGAGATAGTTCCATCTTTGCCCTGTGGTTGGCTCCTGAGCCTTTTTGATACAATTCTGGTGGTCTTATTGGTCTTTTATTGCATCCAGGCTCTGGTGTACCATGATGTTCTAGGCTTTTCTTATATATGAACTAGAGGCCCGGTGCACAAAAATTTGTGCACTCGGGGTGGTGGGGGGGCGGGGGGGAGGCCCTCAGCCCGGCCTGTGCCCTCTCGCAGTCTGGGACCCCTTGGGGAATGACCACCTGCTGGCTTAGGCCTGCTCCTTGGGGGATTGGGCCTAAGCTGGCAGTCACACATCCCTCTGGCAGCCCGGCAGTCCTCAGGGGATCTCCACTTGCCAGCGGGGAGCAGGCCTAAGCTGCAGCCGGACATCCTTAGTGCTGCTGAGGAGACAGGAGAGGCTCCCACCACCACCACTGCTGTACTGGCAGCCATCAGCCTGGCTTGTGGCTGAGCAGAGCTCCTCCATGTGGGAGCTCACTGACCACCAGAGGGCAGCTCCTGCATTGAGTGTCTGCCACCTGGTGGTCAGTGTGTGCCATAGTGACCAGTCATTCCCAGTCTTTCCGCTGTTAGGGTCAGTTTGCATATTACCTGTTTACTATATAGGATAGAGGCCTGGTGCACAGGTGGGGGCCGGCTGGTTTGCCCTGAAGGGTGTCCTGGATCAGGGTGGGGGTCCCCACTGGGGTGCCTGGCCAGCCTGGATGAGGGGCTGATGGCTGTTTTCAGGCTGGCCAAGCCGGCGACAAGCTCCCAGCCTCTCCTTTTTTTCTTTTTTTTATTCTGGGATTTATTTATCTTCTATAATTGGAACTTTGTTGCCACTCCAGCTTCGAGGCCACGGCCTGCTGAAAGCAGGTATCTGGGGTTTGTTTAGCTTCTATAATTGCAACTTTGTTGCTTAGAGTGGAGCTCAGAGCCCGGCCGCTTGGCTTCCTCCATCACTGGAGCAAGCAAGCCTCCTGCTCGCTTCAGCTGCGTGGCTGCTGGCCGCCATCTTGGTTGGGTTAATTTGCATATCCTGCTGATTAGCCAATGGGAAGTGTAGCGGAGGTATGGTCAATTACCATGTTTGTCTATTATTAGATTAGATAACTCTGTCCGGACCTGCAACTGCGCCTTGCAAATAATTCCCCAGTTCCATTGTCACAGAGCAGGTCAAATTGGTAAATTTAGAACCGAGAAGCAATAAGTAACAGACACACACAGCACATATTATTACTTATCAGTGTCATCTCCCTTTGTCCCTGAATTGGTCTTCATTTAGTGTGTAGTCTGTCTCTTCAGTGTTGGTTCTGTGTGCTTGTGTTTTATGAAGCTTGCTTTCTGGTAGATTCCTGAGGCAGGAATAATGTCAGTAATGTTCTTTGCGTTGTTTGACTATTGAAGAGTCACTTTGTGGCTGCCCATTGGCTTCATGCAAATGCTTGGCTCACACTTTCTTTCCTTAACATCTTAGTTACTCCAGTTTCTTCTCCCACATGCACTGCCCTTCAGAACTGATCACGAGCTGACTTTCATCTTCTTACAAGTAACATGGTCTTTCTTCATTTTGGTGTTGCTTCTGGGTCAGTTTCCAGTTGTGGCGTCTTCAGTGTGTGCTTGAAAATCTGTAGTTTAGGACAGTTTTCTTGAATTATAGTTTTTCAAATTTGTTATTTACTTTTGTGATATTTTACCTGATATTTCTGTCATTGGGGAATTCATTCCACCGATTTTCAAAATACATTTAACCCTTTGCGGTCGTATTAAATTTGGACATGGGTGTCGTACTGGTCGGAATTAATTTCCATTGAAAGAGCAGTGATACATAACATGCAAGATTATGAAGGATAAACAAGATTTATTAATTCTTTTTTGGAACTACGTCACTGCTAGTAGAATCACTACAAACGTTATCACTTTCTACGTCAGAGTCATTATTCAAGGTGCCAAAATAAAACTCTTCATCGTTACTTTCAGATTCGCAGTACACTTCTTTCGGTAACTTTCTTTTTGCCATTTTGGAGTATTATTTTGAAATATCTTAACAAGCGAGAATGCCCAATTACAGTTAAACGTAATTTGTAAAGCTTTATTTGAAATTCTGCAAAGTATCTCCGAAGCTTGTTGATTTCTTCACTCTCAAAAGGCGACTGACTCGCCACGGTGTTTTGCATGGCGAGTGTGGAATGACCGCGTTTGTTTATATTGAGTTTCGATATCTCCGATTTGTCGGGGCAATGTTTTGGTTCGTGACAAGGTCGCTTAGACACTTAAAAGCTTTCAGAGAAATTATGAACTGATACATGAATGAATAGAGTTAAGATTCGTACGGTTCCTTGCTGTGGTGGCTGAGAGCAGACATACGACCGGAATGGTAAAAAAGCTTTGGTGGCTGAGAGTAGACAAACAACCGCAAAGGGTTAATAGCTTATTCCACCAGGTGCCAGGACTTGAAATCTGGTGTTATATTGGGACATAGTTGAAGAGCATGACTTTTATTAGGCCTGTATTAAAGTTCTCCGGATAATGTTCATATGACAGTTATAAATGTTTGCATTCCAGATGCTGAAGTGGAAATGATTATGGTGCTCAGTGAATGTTGATTCAGGATCACCAGGATGCAAATTTGAAATGTTTTACATTTGAATCATTCTTTTAAACTGGGTCAGGAGATAAGATTTTGAAAAAATCATTTGAAGATTGTCAACAAGTACATATAAAGTAAAAACTGTTTTGTGTGTGAGAGAGATTTATTGGTCAGTGCTACTCTTTAGCTTAAACAGCGGTTCTCAACCTGTGGGTCGCGACCCCTTTGGCAGTCGAACGACCCTTTCACAGGGGTCGCCTAAGACCATTGGAAAACACATATATAATTATATATTGTTTTTGTGATTAATCACTATGCTTTAATTATGTTCAATTTGTAACAATGAAATTGTGGGTCACCACAACATGAGGAACTGTATTAAAGGGTCGCGGCATTAGGAAGGTTGAGAACCACTGGCTTAAGAGAATGTCCCTCTCAGGCCTGTTGTACTGCTTCCCTTCATTTATTCTTTACTATTTTAGGTTGATGTGGTACATTTTCTTCAACACATACTTGGGATATTTTTCAGAGTTTAGAATTGCTTTAAAATTGGACCAGAGAAATTTTCTAGACTTCGAGAACCTCTTTTTATGTGTCAGCTTTTTTATAGTCACTCTCAGATGATCACTCTGTCATTTATTGCTAATACTCTGTTCAGGGAATATTAACAAAGGGAATGCCTTCTTCCCTTTTTTTGGTTTTTGTTTGTTAATCCTCACCTGAGGATATTTTTTCCATTGATCTTTTAGAGACGGGGGAAGGGAGAGAGAGAGAGAGAAACATTTATTTGAGAAATATCTATCAGTTGCCTCCCACACATGCCCTGAACGGGAATCGAACCTGCAACCTGCCACCTTTTCGTGTATCGGACGATGCTCTCTCTAACCACTAAGACACGAGCCAGGGTGGGAATATTTACTCGTTTCCATTTTTTCTGCAAAACCCCTTTTGATACTATTGAAAATATTAACTGTTATGCTTTGCTGGTTGACTCACTGTTTTCAAAATAGTTCATTTAGAAAAGGAAGTGGTGATAGTTTCGAGTGTTCGTGGTGAGCTAATTGTAAATACGCTGGTACTATTTTGGCTTCCCTAAGCTCTCCCTCTTCCCCATCTTTCTAGTTTGACCGAGAGAACCTACGGATCCCAGGAATGCTGATTATTGACACCCCTGGCCATGAGTCTTTCAGGTGAGAGCACGGGGATTCTTTTGTCCACAAGCAAACTGCTTGAAACTGTGAGTCTGAAGGTCCAGTCAGTGAAGTCTGAGCCTTCTGAATCGTTGGGTATACTTTGAGATTTGTGGTTTCTACTGCAGTTCTCTAGCTACTTATCTCTGATAATTACCAGTCCTCCTCCTTGCCTCACTAATTTTATTTGGATACTTGTTTTTTGTTGTTTTTTAGTTTTAATTTTTTATTTTAATCCTCACCCAAAGACAGTTTTCCCATTGATTTCTAGAGACAATAAAAGGGAGGAAGGAGAGGGGCGGAGAGAGACACACACACATCGATTGGTTGCCTCCCACATTCACCCCTACTGGGGCTGGGGAACCTGCAAATGAGGTACATGCCCTTGGCCTAGAATTGAAACATAGACCCTTTGGTCCAAGGGCCGATTCTCTAACCACGGGGCAACCTGGCCAGGGCTACATACTAGTTTTTTTATAGAGAGAAGCCTTTTCTACTTGGAAGAACAAATCCTATTACATTCCTGGTCTGTCTCCTGTGAGACCCATTGCAGGTGGGATTTTCCCTCATAGCCTCTCGGCCATATTCCTTAGCACACAAAAACCTTCGTCAGTAAAATTGGCAGAAATATTGGATTTACTTTGGCAACTAACTCATTCCAGCTGGTGTCAGATAGGTGTTTGGAAAGTGAAGGGCTAATGAATGGCACTTGAATTTAATGCATGTACTTCATTTTGTTCTTTTGTTTAGGTTTTACAAAACAATTAACATTTTAAGTTTCTTTAAGTAAAATTTTATTTCAAGATTTCTACTTATGCATCTTTTTCCTTCCTTTCAACAGTAATCTGAGAAACAGAGGCAGCTCTCTTTGTGATATTGCTATTTTAGTTGTTGATATCATGCATGGTTTGGAGCCCCAGACAATTGAATCTATTAACCTTCTGAAATCTAAAAAATGTCCCTTCATTGTTGCACTCAATAAGGTAAGCTCTGCTTCTGAAAAATTAAATTGTGAAAATATGCTTCTGCCTTAGCTGGTTTGGCTCAGTGGATAGAGCATCGGCCTGTGGACTGAAATGTCCCAGGTTCGAATCTGGTCAAGGGCACATGCCTGGGTTACGGGCTCAATTCCCAGTGGGGGGCGTGCAGGAGACAGCCGGTCAATGATTCTCTCTCATCACTGATGTTGCTATCTCTCTCCCTCTCCCTTCCTCTCTGAAATCAACAAATATATAATTAAAAAATGCTTCTTTAATTTTAGTACTAGAGGCCGGGTGCATGAAATTCGTACGCGGGACAGTTCCTAGGCCTGGCCTGCAATCAGGGACATCTTCGCCGGCCCCGCCCCCTGCCGCCATCCACCCCTGGCTCCCTGTTTGCCATTGGGTGATCAGTGCCTGATGGCCGGGGGAAGAGACTGAGAGGTGGTCAGTGCGCCTCATAGTGACTGGTCCAGCGGTCATTCTGGTCATTCTCCTGTTAGGGTTAATTTGCATATTACCCTTTTATTGTATAGGATAGAGGCCTGGTGCACGGGTCGGGGCTGGCTGGCCTGCCCTGAAGGCGGTCCTGGATCGGGGTGGCAGGGGTTCCCCCTAGGGGGGCGGGGCCAGCCTGGGCGAGGGGCCACCAGGGGTTTGCAGGCCGGCCATGCCCCTGGCTTTGTCAGGAAGGACATCTGGAAGACATCGGTCTATCCGGTCTAATTAGCATATTACCCTTTTATAGATAGACTAGTGGCCTGGTGCACGAAATTCGTGCACATTGAAAGGGAATTAATTAGAGGAAATATTTTAATGTTGCTATTTGCCCTTTCTCTATAATAAAAGTGTGAGAGATAAAAGGAAATGAGTACAATGTATATGAAAATAATACATAATTTTATTAATAAATAAACAATAATAAAATGATACAACAAAAAACTCATGATGTAAAAACAACACTGATGCAAATAATGACTGATAAAGTGATTAAACTTATTCTAATATCTCCCTGTATACCACATTAAGAGTAAAAACACTTTCAGAGTGCTTGACTAATTTCCCTTGGGATAAAGTATTTATAACTTTAACTTTAACATCACATGCTCTTCGAACTTGAGAGAAAGCAACATATAACTGACCATGTGCGAAAACGGGTTCAGGTAGAAATATTCCTACTCTGTCTAGAGTTTGTCCTTGTGATCTCCCGGCGGAAGGGCTGGTTGGGGGCGTGACTGATGGCTGACGGGCAGCAGTCACCCCGCCAGTGCCGGATCTCCCACGGGGGATCCAGGCTGGAGGGGCGACTGCTGCGGGAGATCCAGGCTGGAGAGGAGACTGCTGGCGGTCGCAGTCGCCCCGCCAGTCCGGATCTCCCGTCGGGAGGCGTGACTGATGGCTGACTGGCAGCAGTCACCCCGCCAGTGCCGGATCTCCCGGCGGGAGGGCCAGTTGGGGGTGTGACAGCTGGCAGACCGCCAGGGTCACGCCCGCCAGCCCTGGGTCGGGTCGCACAGCGGTCGCCCACCATCCAGGTCACAGATAGCAGGCCCGGATGGCGGCGGGGCAGGCAGAATGGCGCTGTCCCATCCTGCCTGCAGTATGCAAATCAGCCGCCATCTTGGCTGGCAGTTAATTTGCATATAGCCCTGATTAGCCAATGGGAAGGGTAGCAGAGTGACACTAATTACCATGTTTCTCTTTTATTAGATAGGATAACTTTCATATAATCTACTCATGGTAAGTTCAAAATGAATGACAAATTTACACACACACACATAACCATCACCATTCACAATATAGACCATTTTTGTATTCCCAGAACATTCCCTCCTGTTCTTCTACAGTTAGCCTGCACCCATCACCAACTCCAAGCAGAGACTGATCTGCCACTATAGACTAGTCTACCTGTTGTAGAAATTCATGTTAAAGGAAATATACACTGTGTAATCTTTCCAGTCTGGCATTTTTCATTATTCATATTATAATAGGATTATCCATGTAGTTGCATATCTCATAGGTTGTTCCTTTTTATTTCTGAGTAACATTTTTTTATCTGAATAATACCACATTTTATTTCCCCGTTGAAGGACATTTAGATTAGTTCTATTTTAGGTTACTTATTAATGAAGCAGCTGCGAACATTTGTACACAAGAATTGCTGGTTCATATGGTATATGTATGTTCAACTTTGTGAGAAAATGACACATTTTTCCCAAAGGGACGTACCAGTTCTTTTACATTTTAGCCCACAGTGCTTAAGAGCTCCAGTTCCTGCACGCTGTTGCTGACTTGTAGCCATCCTAATAAGTGTGGAGTGCTAATCTGTATTTCCATGATGACTGATGGCATCAAGCATCTTTTCCTGGGCTTATTTGCCACCTCTCTCTTTGTGAAGTATCTATTTAAGATCCTTTGCTCATTTTTTATCAGTGTTGTTTTAGTGTTGAAATTTTTTTGCTGTTATTAATCTTCACCAGAAGATATTTTTTCCATTGATTTTCAGAAAAGGAGGGAGGAAGGGTGGGAGAGAAGGTGGAGGGAGGGGGAGAGAAAAAGAGAGACACATTGACTGCTTGTCTTCCATGGTTAGAGTGACAGCGCTGGAACACTGAAGGGCCCATATCGGTGTTGTGGGTTCACAGTGTTCCAGCGCTGTCACTCTAACCATTGAACCACACCAGTCAGGGGTTGTATTGAATTTTAAGAGTTTCTTACATATTGTTGTTACAATTCCTTGGTCAGTAATGGGTACTGCAGGTAACTCTTGTAGTCAGGACTTGGCGTTTTCTTGTTTGTTTTTTTCATTTTCTTTACCATGTGTTTTGAGTAAAGATTTCTGATTTTGACAAAATCTATTTTTAATTTTTTTATATTTTAGAGAGAGGAAGGGAGAGAGAAAGAGAAAAACATCCATCGGTTGCCTCCTACATGCTCCCAGGGGATCAAACCTGCAGTCTTTGTATGTGCCCTGACTGGCGATTGAACCTTCACCTTTTGGTGTACTGTACCATGCTCCAACCAACTGAGCCACTTGGCCAGGGCTTGACAAAATCTAATTTATGAGAAATTCATAATTTGTGTTTTTTGTATTCTATATAAATAGTGTTACCCTAGCTGGTTTGGCCAATTTGAGCAATAGAATAATTAAAATGGGCTATTCTCTGAGATTGGGAATAATTACTTTTTATTTTCAATTTTTTTGGTATATAATTTTCCTGATGATGGTATTTGCTGTAATTGATCCTTGTTCCTGTCTGCTATTGATACAAAGCCATTTTGGAATTCTAACAATGTGGTGGTGGTGCTGGGTCATTCTGGGATCTCATCTTTTGCAAACAGATGGCCACCTCTCAGGACTCAGCGGTTTCTAATTTAGGAGGGGATGCAGGTTGTCAGGGGCTTTGGGTGCAATAAAATAATGAGTAATTCACAAAAATACGGGTAAATATAAGTAACACGAGGAATTTTCTGGAGCATTTATTAACCTTTTTAAGTGTTTTCTGTGAAAAACTCTTCCAGATTGATAGGCTGTATGATTGGAAAAAAAGCCCCGAGTCCGATGTGGCGGCCACTTTAAAGAAGCAGAAAAAGAACACAAAGGATGAATTTGAGGAGCGAGCAAAGGCTATTATAGTGGAATTTGCACAGCAGGTAAGAAAGCTGTCCACTCATTACGAAGAGGCTGCATCATGGAGCAGCGTTTTCTTTCACGGCCTTATCTGTCACTAATACTGGTTCTGTTCCCCTATTCCTGGCACTTGATGACTTTTATTCTTCCCCCTTAGACATTTTCCTTTGTAAATCAGAAAGTGCATATTTCAAAGATCTCTAGGTAGTTTTGATGTTTAAATTTTAAAAACTGAGTTAACTTGGGAAGAAACTTTTTCTGAAACATAATGAATGCCTCAGGATATGCATGACCTTTCCTTGAGTGTTTCTGACGCGTTTCAGGATTAGCCATTTGCTCATTCAGCTTCTAGTTGGGTTAAGCATTCCTGTTCTGGATGGCCCTCCACAGCTTGGCCTTGTGGGTGATTTTGCGCTTTATGTCTTTAGGGTTTGAATGCGGCTTTGTTTTATGAGAATAAAGATCCCCGCACTTTTGTGTCCTTGGTACCTACCTCTGCACATACTGGTGATGGAATGGGAAGCCTCATCTACCTTCTCGTCGAGTTGACGCAGACCATGCTGAGCAAGAGGCTAGCCCACTGTGAAGAGCTGCGGGCACAGGTGATGGAGGTAAGGTTACCTGGCAGGTGATCATTTTTTTGTTTTGTTTTTATTTTTAATAGTAGGTTCCTGGGTGGGGATATTTACTGCTGTTAGATTTAATCGGCATGGCGCGTTGTAGCTTATACTTCTTTGCAACCATGTCTCTTAGGTTAAGGCTCTCCCAGGAATGGGCACCACTATAGATGTGATATTGATCAATGGACGTTTGAAGGAAGGAGATACAATTATTGTTCCCGGAGTGGAAGGGCCCATCGTAACCCAGATCCGAGGCCTCCTGTTGCCTCCACCTATGAAGGAGTTAAGAGTGAAGGTAAGCCGTGGTGATCAGCAGTGACCTGTGGGGACTTTTCGTGTTGGGAAACTGCTGAGGTCTCTTCCTCATTTTGAGTGCTGCTTGTCTCACTACGCACACACACACGCCCACACCCCCCTTCCCCACTTTATGTTAGAGGTCTTCATATAGGAGGGACCAGAATCTTCTTATTCGCCAACTAAGCTCTTGATAAAAACTAAAGCACACTGCTAAGTAATTTTTCATCACCACTTTTATTGTTAAATAAGACATTCATACAGAAAAGTACACAGCACATAGAAATGTTGAGTAAGTTTTTAGGAAGCAGACAACCAGATCAAGGACAAGAGCGCTGACACCCGGAAGCCTTCTGTGTGCCTCTCCTGGACTCAGCTCCCTCTGCCCCAGAGGGGACCGTGCTTCCGTTGTCATGATAGTAACGAGTACCCTTGCTCTCTAACTTACAGCCTCCATACCTGAGGATGCGCTCTTAAAAAGTGCGGACTTTCTATGCATCGTGTCATTCTCATTTTCCCTTTGTATCCTGCTGCTTTCAGTCAAAAAATAAAGATTTATGGGTGTTGCTGCACTTTGGTTCCCCTTAGCTGTGTGTGGTGGGCCATTGCACAAGTACATTGCGGTCAGTTTGTTCTCCTGGTGACGGAGAGCGCAGGCTGGCTCCAGTTGTACATTTCACTGCCAACACTCGTGAACATGGCGTATTGTCTCCTGGGTGGTTGCACAGGTTTCTCCAGGGTGTGTATAGGAGTGAAGGGCGGACTCATTGCTTAGGCTTAGCTCCACCTTCAGGAGGGGAGGCCAGTGTCCACGGTGAGTGTGATGTTGCCTCCCACCTGTGTCCATTACTCACATCTTTCAGCTCTCGATGCTGATTCTTCTTTCTGTTTTTCCCATTCTGGTGGCTGTGTAGCTCTTTGCTGTTCCAGGTCGGACTTGCCTGATTAAAACATCGTGGCCATTATTTTGTTTATAGCCATTTGAATTTCTTTGTGAAATGCCTATTGTGCCCTGGCATTGTTTCTCCTTAGCACATTTCCGAGTTGTTTAGTAGTCAGGGTATCAGGCTGATTGGTAGGTAGCTAGTGCATCATTTTTTCCTGTTCCATAACTTTTTTTTTACTCTTTTTCTGGCAGCTTGAGAAACAGAACTACTTAATTTACTGTCGATTTTATCAAGCTTTTGTGTATTGCTTTTTGTGTCTAGTTTAAGAAATCTTTACCCCAAGATCATGGAAATACTGTCTCTCCCGTCATCTCCTGGTGCTGAGCACTTTCCCGATGGTTGTGGTAACGTGCTTTGGTCTCTGCAGAACCAGTATGAGAAGCACAAAGAGGTGGAAGCAGCTCAGGGCGTGAAGATTCTCGGCAAAGACCTGGAGAAGACGCTGGCTGGCTTACCCCTGCTGGTGGCGCACAAGGAGGATGAGATTCCGGTGCTTAAAGTAAGTGGTTTTCCTCTGGAGCCACCTGACCTGTCGTGGGGCCGAGGGGTTCGCGCTAGGAATGGCGAGGGAAGCCTTAGGTCATGGCCTCTTAGCGAACAGTTGACACTTTTTAAAAAATTACTCCAGTTTAAACCCCCCCATTATTTTAGTTTGTATAATCATATGAATTGGCATAAGTAATACTGATGTGCCCTACAATTCTAAAATACACATTTCACTTAAATAAAAAATAAGTCCAGAAGGTGTTTGCATTTAGATGCCCGAGTCTGTGGGCAGAACTAGGTCCTGGGAGTCACTCAAAGCGCCGTGCCTGTTTGTAGGAGCAGATGCCGCGTGAGCCCAGCAGCTTCACAAACGCGGATGGTGAGCCACAGGTTATACCACTGTTCTCAGCCCACGGCTGGTCTGGTGAGCTGGGCCCAGCAATCACTCTTCAGGCTGTACCAGGCCCAGGGCAGGGAGAAGAGGGCGGGCATGCCTCGTCGGCCAGTCCCAGGTTGGCGTGGACACCTGCATCATCTTGGCATCAACATGATTGTTTTACTTAGAATCTCCTCACCTTCAGAGGAGCAGTGACGGAGGACAGGGCTGCGAGATTAGGGTAATTTCAAAATTGAGACAGTTGAGCTGAGCCGTTGGACTATTTCGTTCCTCTCACTGCTCTGCCTTATTTGCCAAGTTGCGCAGAGGTTAAGCATATTTCAGTGTTAGTAAACCCCACACGGCGAAGCGAGGTGGGACACAGCTCAAATGTGGCCCCAGAGCCTCCACTCCTGCTCAGGTTCTGCAGTGCCGGCTCCTGTAGGCCTTGGTTTTGTGTTTGCAGAAGAATACTCTAGGCTGCTGCTGGTGGAGTTGTATGTACAGCCATGTAAATTCCAATTTCTTCTTCAGGACGAATTGATCCATGAGCTAAAGCAGACACTAAACGCCATCAAGTTAGAAGAAAAAGGAGTCTATGTGCAGGCGTCGACACTGGGCTCTTTGGAAGCTCTGCTGGAGTTCCTGAGGACGTCAGAAGTGCCGGTAAGTGACCAAGCGCGGCTGCAGTCCGTAGGGATGGTGGTGGGCTGCTTCTGCCATGTGGTCGGGTAACGTGCGGACACCGTCTCCAGTACGCAGGAATCAACATCGGCCCCGTCCATAAGAAAGACGTCATGAAGGCCTCGGTGATGTTGGAGCATGACCCCCAGTGAGTACCCGCCCTCCTGCCGGAGGCTTCGCCCGTGATTTCTGTGCACCTCCTTGGGGTGTGCGCCGTTCTCATTGTCTCTCCTGTTCTGACTTCCAGGTACGCAGTCATTTTGGCCTTTGATGTGAGAATTGAACGGGATGCACAAGAAATGGCTGATAGTTTAGGAGTTAGAATTTTTAGTGCAGAAATTATTTATCATTTATTTGATGCCTTTACAAAATATAGACAAGACTACAAGAAACAGAAACAAGAGGAATTTAAGTAAGTTGGTGATTTTCCCTACTTTGGCCTTTGATGAAGTTGACTATTGGAGAATTGCCTAACAGCAGGAAGGTGTGTGGACAGCAGAAGCATGGTGTTTGCTGGAGGCTGTACCTGCAGTGCTGTAACCCGTGGCCCCGTCCCCACCCCCTCCCAACCGTGTGGGGACAAATCCTCAGGAGTCTTCTTGGCTTACGTTTTGGTTTCCATTTTCAGTTTGGCAAATGGAAGTCTCTTTCATGGGGGTAGCTGCTCCATTTGGGGACTGTCTTCCTCCTCTGGGATTGCCAGGAATGGGGAACCTAGGAACTGAAATGAGGGAGGCATTCCAGGGAGCAAAGCTTGGGCCTGCAGCTGACCTGACCAGGAGCTCAGTGTAAGAGGCACTCGCAGGAGCTAGAGTCAGCAGTGCCCCTGGCACTCTCTTCCTCTGGGAGCTCAGGGGAGAGACAAGCAATGAACACACGAGAAGTGGGGAGAAGTGCTAAAAAGCCAAACAGAGCAGGGGCGGGCCCAGATGAGGAGAGCTGGGAGGCAGCTCACCTCTGAGATCCAGGCTACGATCCAGCCACCCAGACACGGGTGAGGACAACGCTGGGCAGTGGCCCACACAGAAACCCTTAGAGGGATGAGTTCAGAGGAGTCGGCAGGACCCAGAGCACGTGGGACCCTGTGCATAGGATGGATTTTGGAGTCAGGGATGAGGGCCCATCAGGAGGCTCCCATAGTCCAAGCCAGACACCACAAAGGCTCAGAGCAGTCGCCCTCGGAGTGATGACTCAATCGGGCATATTCTCAAAGCTCAGACTGTAAGGATTTAGACCAGCCGTGGGCAAACTACAGCCCGCGGGCCGGCCCGTTTGAAATGAATAAAACTAAAAAAAAAAAAAGACCGTACCCTTTTATGTCATGATGTTTACTTTGAATTTATATTAGTTCACACAAACACTCCATCCATGCTTTTGTTCCGGCCCTCCGGTCCAGTTTAAGAACCCATTGTGGCCCTCGAGTCAAAAAGTTTGCCCACCCCTGGTCTAGACTGAGACGTGTTCACTGTAGATCGTGAAACCTGACGTGAAAAGGCTTAAGACATAAGACGCTGTGAAAGCACTTGAAGCTTTGCTTCATGAGCAGGGAAATGCTTTTGGATCGTCTGATCTGGGAGCATGCCAGAGAAGAGGATGTGGTTTGATGCCTGCGGGTCCCAAGAACAGCCTTCACGTGGGCCATGCGCCACCCTGAGGGTAGCGCCCACCGAGGTTCTAAGACCCGAGTGCCGTCTGTAGCTCAAGCCTTTCAGTCTGGGCACCAGATGCTCCGTGGGGCAGTTTCTCCGAGACCTGATGGGCGGGGGAGGGGGAGGAGAGGAAGGAACCACAGAAGGTGCTGTGGACTGAGCACACCCCCGGGTAGCACAGTGTCCCTGCTGCCTGCAGGGGTCTGGGAAAGCAGCCTTGTGTTCACCTGTACTTGCTTTTTAGTTTAAGTGACTGTACTTTAAAATCCTTGTTTTTTTCTTTCAGGCACATAGCAGTATTTCCCTGCAAGATGAAAATCCTCCCTCAGTATATTTTCAATTCCCGAGACCCCATCGTGATGGGCGTGACGGTGGAAGCAGGTCAGGTGAAACAAGGGACCCCCATGTGTGTCCCCAGCAAAAATGTAAGTGCCAGCTGTACTTTAAGAACAATGTGCTATCTCGTAAGCTGTAAATGGGAGTCCAGGAATGGTGACAAAAGACTTACACCAAGCAGAGCTTGTCGCCTTGTGTAATTTAGACTGCAGTCTTGCTGAATGTCAGCATTCCTTAGTCAATCTTGGTTACTAACACCAGTGCATCAGTTATGAAGACTGCAATTTAGAGCCCTTTCACATTTCACTAATTGCCCACCTGCTGGCTTGGTCCCGGATCCCTTCATGTGCACTGCCTTTGGCTGTTGGGTGTTTCAGTCTTCATCGGGAGCAGCCCGTCCTTCCTGAAGAGGCCAGACCATTGCTTCCCAGGGCATTTCTCCACTTGGGTTTCGTGACTAAGGAAAGGATCCTGCATGTCCAGGTGCTTGTCGGTAACCTGATTGCTGGGGGAGCTGTGTGTTGCCAGCTCAGCCTCTCCATTAGAGACACACCTTTCCCCTTTGTAATTAATTACTAGGTGGTCTGTGGGGTACTTTGAGTCCCTATGATCTCCTATTCCTCAGCCTTTATCCCAGAAGCAAGCATTATATAAATGGTTGCAAAATTGTGATTCTATCACCCACCTCCCTCTGTGAAGAGCCCTCACCTCCCTGACCTTTTCATTAAGTATCCATCTGTTTTGCTTTTTAGCACTTCTCCCCACTTCTCGTGTGTTCATTGTTTGGTTTTGTAAACTCTGCTGTTGTAATCCATCACTGATACTTTCGATGGCCACGTTACCCAGTTTGGTCTGTGGGAGCCACATGCCCCTGGAGCGTAAGCATCTCTTCCTCCTCCCGGTGCAGGACGCTGCCCCAGACCATTCCTGTAGTTCCCATTTCTGGGATGAGCGAGGACGTTTATTTGCAGTTATTGTCTCCTGTATGACTGGCCAACCTTTCTCTCTTCCCAAGCAGAGGATGCCCCCCCACCCCTAAAATTGAGACTAGGCTGCTCATAATTCATCCTCAGAACGAAATGCAAAGTCTTTACGTGGACCTGCAAAGCCTCCCTGACTTCATCCCCAGCTCCTCACCCCTTGCTCATAGCAGCCACTCCATGCTCATGCCTTGGGCACCTGTCCTGTGAAGGGTGGGACAGAAATAGGAAACAGCATACAGCGCTTTCCAAGCTGTGGCCACCTCGGGAAGGGCAGGGGGGACGGTGCTGTCACCCGTTTCTCAACGAGAACATTGCACTGCGGAGGTGGTGGCCATGGTCAGCAGCCGAGGCTTTGACACTGGCCCTCGTGCTCAGCAACTGGTTTTCCTCAGGCTCAGCTCTCAGGTGCCTGCAGCGGGCAGGATTCCTCTGCTGACATTGTCCTCTGTTCTTATTTGACAGTTTGTGGACATTGGAATAGTAACAAGTATTGAAATAAACCACAAACAAGTGGATGTTGCAAAAAAAGGACAAGAAGTCTGTGTGAAAATAGAACCTATTCCTGGTGAATCCCCCAAAATGTACGGGAGACATTTTGAAGCTACAGACATTCTCGTCAGTAAGGTAAGTCCCTGCCAGAGGGGCACCTGAAGGGACTGGTTGTGGGCGGGCTTGATGGGTTGAGTGGCCGCCTAGAAAGCTTTTCATGTCGCGGGCTGCCGGTCTCCCAGGTCCCCCTGCAGCCCTCGCCCAGTGGCGCCGCCTCGGTGTCCAGAGTGGCCAGCATCTGGGGGCGGCTGGCCGCCCGCTTCTCTGGGCACTTGTGGGTTACATTCTGTTCTTATGCCACCTGTGCCTCGTCCTTTGCAGATCAGCCGGCAGTCCATCGATGCCCTGAAAGACTGGTTCAGAGACGAGATGCAGAAGAGTGACTGGCAGCTTATTGTGGAGCTGAAGAAAGTATTTGAAATCATCTAATTTTTCCACATGGGGCAAGAATTAGAGTAAATGCAAGAAAAAAAAACAGGATAAAAAGTGGAATGGACGTATCTGGACACTGATGCACTTAAGTACGGAAGGAAAAAATAGATGTATAAAATGTTTTCCATGAGAAACCAAGAAACTTACACTGGTTTGACAGTGGTCAATACCTGTCCCACAGCTCCAAGGTGCCTGTCCACATGCCCGCTCCTTCCCCACCCTACCTGCTGCTGTTTTAAAGTTTGCCCTTCCCCAAATTTGGATTTTTATTACAGATCTAAAGCTCTTTGGATTTTATACTGATTAAATCAGTACTGCAGTGTTTGATTAACCAAGCTTCTGCAGATTTTGTGATTCTTGGGACTTTTGATGTAAGAAATACTATTTTATTTATGCATCTCCTTCCCACAGTCATTTTTGTCCCCACCCATCTGCTCTTTGGATTTTTTAAAATAGAAAATTAGGTATTCTGGTATTTCTTTATCTGCTTTGTGTGAAACCATGGTGTAGAGTGTAGCTGGCTGCTATTGACTGCTTGTCTAGTCATGAGTCCACTGTAATCAGCACAATTCTGAACTCCAATAAAGAGAACATTCACTAGAAAGCTCTGCTAGGCCTTCATGTTAGCGTAGCTTCTCTCCCATGAGTCTTCAGCTCTTTTCTTTTAAAGATAAGAACTATTTTATGAACTGTCTCCAACCTTGTGTACCAGCACATCTTAACATTAGGAGTTTTTAGATAATAATCTTGGTCTATTTTGTCCTAGAAAGTCTATCATGCATACATTTTCTGATTAGAAAACGGAACTGATAACTATATGGGCTCAGTGCTTCTAAATTGTCATGGAGACGTCATAATGACTCATTTATACCAGTAATCTGATTATAGCTAGTTTTATGGTTTTCCTGCAAAGTGTGGGTAAAGATTAATTCCTATAACAGATCTCAAGGGTCTGACAACCTATTTATAAGTGTCAGATGAAGTCAGTGTAGGTGTTTGAAGAAAATGTTCCCAAGTAAACTCTATTTTTAAAGTGTTATGGCATAACATAGCATAAAATACTTTATACTTTATGTACATTTGAAAATCTGTACCACTCGTCATTATTGAAGTTCCTCAAGGGCCAATAGAGGCAAGAAAAACACCTCTAAACACCTGTGGGGCATAATTTTCCCAGGAGAAACTTAATCTTCAATTGTGTGTTCTAATTCACCACATGGAAACTCCTCCACTGGGAAGAAGTAAAGATGTTCTTAACAGGCTGTTAACTGTGTTCCTGCGTGGGGGGAGGGGTGACTGTCTGGAAGCAGCAGGCCCAGCCTGGCCCTCTCGGGAATTACAGAGCCCAGCACGAGTCTGGGCTGCAGGTTGTTCCCATGGTGTAACAAACGGTTCCGGGTCTGGTTCCTAAAGGATTCACAAAAAGGAACCTGTACAAAATATACATACAGTTCTTTATTAAACAACTGTAAACACTTCACTGTAAAAATCCATAAAACTTTATAAACAAACATTTTGTAAATAGAATCTATACTACAGTAAAAGAACACATTTATTTACATGCAATACTGACAAATTTGGCACTTTTTGAAAAGAAATGTACAAAACACTTGCTCAAAAAGAAATTTGAAATTATGAAAACTCAGAGCATTACTACCATGCACTTTGTAGATACCTCACAAGCACTTATGGCACCGCAGCGAGAGCACCGCGCTCCCTGCTCACACTATGTAACTTTCAATGTGCTCCCATAAGTCTGTTGTAAAACCACCTGAACATTGTCAAGAATAAAGTCAAATGCCATATTCCAAACTGATTCCACCGACTGCTGCGTCAACCTACAGGTGGGGAAAGAGGAACATCAGGAAAGACTCATGATTCCTTCAGAATCAGTTTAACATTTTAAGATAAGAATCGATTTTGGCAAACTCTCGAACATTCCAAAGGACTTCCCTTGGTTTTAAACTATATTAAATCCCAAGGGGAACAATCTCATTTTGCCTTTATTACCCAGCCAATATTACAGCATTCCTTTCTCTGCGATTCTAAATAATAGGCACCTATTTTTCATTAACCCTGGAGAGCAAAGTTAAGGCAACCGACTGCAAGAAACTACAAAACTTCGAGCCTTGCCCTCCCTCCACTAGCCCGTGACATGCCATTTCACCTTCGATGGAAGTACTAGTTACCTTTTCATGTATTTTATAACGAGGTCCAGTTTCTCCAAGTCTTTCTCCTCTATCAGGTCAGTGCAGTATTTCACAACTTGCAGAATGTCTTCTTCCATTGGATCTAGAGGGAAAAGACCTCAAATGAGAACCAGCCCACCTGTTCGTAGGACAGGAAACTGTGTTTTTACAACAACGCAGACGAATGGGCTATGAGGGAACTTCCCCAACCAGTGTAGGTGCTTGGCTGATTGAAGGCTATCAGATTTAGAAAAATGAGCACCATCGACATAGTTGAGCCTGTCATGTTCTGAAACCACAGGACCATGCATTACACATCAGTGTTCGGCTCTGCCCATCCAAGCCGACCTGAAATGGTGGTGATCCACTCCTTGAGCAGTGTCTTCACGTCACTGAACTCGACGGCTCCGGCAAGGTTGGGTGCTGGGGGTCTGACACAGCCAGATGGGGAAGGCTGCACACCTGAAGTAGAAGCAGAGAGTTCTCCCTGTTAAGAAAACAAATGATAAAAGTGCTGTATTTACACAACATCAAGTGCATTACGATTCAGTAAAAGGTCAAAGTTTAAGAAGCATAAAGCTGACCAGCGGTTTCCCAGGGGTAGGACCTTCGTGTTTCAGAAACCCTTCGATTAACTTCTGGGGACTCCCGCTGGCCCCTGGCGCAGCTTTTACGGGACTGTTAAGCAGCTTGTTTTTCAAAGGGCTCTGAACCTTTTTGGGGGAACTGATGGGATTTTTCTTCTTGTTTCGTTTCTTTTCTTTCACTGAGGCTGGTTTCAGCTGAAGGAACGGATTCTTTGGCACTAAAAGATGAACATAAGATCCTCAAACAAGGTATCTGGATAGTAATAAGGATTCTCTCCCCGCCTCAAATCCAACCCTTGTGCGCGCGCACCCCCAACAAGGCTTCTAGCTGAGACTGGGAGGCATTAATGACGAGGGCAGAGAGGTGCAGGCGCTTCCTCGTCTCCGTTGGACCACTGCTTACTGATAACTGTTCACAGGATGCGATAAAAACTCAGCAGGTGAAACAGAAATAGGTGAAACAAATAAGCGGCCCATCAGCACTAGTCTGTTTTTAGCCTACATCCTTTTATGTGTCCCTTTCAAAGGACAATGGCCTTGGCAATTATGCAAAAAGATTTCTGGAAATACCTATTTAGGCATCATTGTTTTTTTAAAGGCTTAAAAAAGTCAAGAATGGTGTTTATAAGTCAAGAAGTTACAGACACCAATCTAACTAGGACTATATCACTTACTATATTGTCTACTTGTTCTGTTCCTCTCAACATGACTAAGAGCTGGGACTCTGGCCATGACACACAATGGTTCGCTTCTCGCACGCTCCTTGCTGGAGGCCACTCCCCAGGCTCACCTGCGGCGCTGGCTGCCTGCGGGTGCGCGCTCTCCCCCGGCCTCTGCCTCTGCCCATAAGCCGCTTTCAGCTCCTTCTGAAGCTCAGCGGGAAGGGCAGCAAACACCTCGGGGTCCACCTCGTGGGAAGGAAAAGGGTCAAAGTCAAACAGGTTGATTCCACACGGCACCTGGCTTATACTTTTCACAAAATCGATTATTTTCAAATCATACTTTTCTGACCTATATGAATTCAGAACAGGTCCTCAATATTAAGGCTCATTAAATCCTCATGGGGTTTTAGGATGAGACTAAGGAATACGATTCTGAATATGAAGTGAACTTTAAAAAAAACAGTCACCAGGGCAAGCACAGGCTCAGCTCGTATGTAATGTTTTCTGAGACATCAGACTTGGACTGTGTCACTGTCCCCGAGTTAAGTTCTCCACCCTGTTTCTCAAGTACAGCCCATCAGTAGTCTCTGGCTGGTGAAACGGGAACAGGATGTTCTGGGTAGAAGCTGTGAACACTCATGTGCCACAGCCTCCCTCTTCTCAGCCCTCAGTTGCTTCAAGAGAGGCTGCTATCCGTCTGTCCTACAGATGATGAGACGAGCCAATCCCCTTTCCCCCTCGCCCCACCATGGATGTGGTGTAGACTAATGAGAGTTTGAGGTGCAAAGGAAATAAGACATGCCCTGAGCTGGAGCAGGGGGGTGGGGCCATTTAAACTGGCAGAAGACCCTATATTTAACTTACTTGTGAGAATGCTGGGAGGGCTATTAGGCTGATTCCCATGTCGCTGTTAGATGCTTGAGGTTCTGGTATTTGTAATAAAACTGTCCCCACTGGTTGAGGCACGATTCCTGTATTACAGCCATTTACTGGTTCGTTCTTTTTGTCACCATGCTGCTCCCCTTGCTGAACAGCACAAACTTGCTCTACTTGTTCCCGGAGATCAGGCGGGAGTGCTTCTAAAACAGACTGATCGAGCTGTAAAATACAGGGTGCAAGGTTGCACCACACTCAGAGATGATGTGTTTGGAGAGATCATACTTCACGTCCACCTCAACTTTAACATCTTGGATAATGAAGATAAGGTGAGGTGCAGAAACCAGGCCAGGAAGGCCCCCCAAGCTCCTGCCTCCAAAGGCTGAGTAGAAATGTGTGGTTCTAAAGGTGACCTATGTACACACTGGAGATGAGACTACACAACTGGCCGATCCCACAGGATCAGGTCAGTCCACACAGGAAGAGCCTCTGTTAAACTCAAATCTGACCCCACCCTTGGGCACGGGCCACTGCCTAAGGCAAGTATGTCAAATTTCTAAGGCCAGAAGTTGGCCTTTCAGACAGGAAACTATATGCCCCTAAGCACAAATAATTTTAGGCCGAGAGCAGACAGCTAGAAAAAAGCTAACTGCTCCAGCCCACATACTAGCATCCCTGTTCCCTTGGCCAGGTCCTTCCTCCCTCCACCCACCGCATACATCCCTTAGGAAGCACGAAGCTCATGAGCTGGGCAGGCCGATCTGACCTTGCTGGGAGCAACTTTCTGAAAACTCAGGCCCATACCTGCCCTTTCCCTAGCTTACAGCCAGCGGCAAATGTTCTCAGCCTCTGCCACCTACTGCTGCAGAGAAATCAACCTTCCCATCGGGCCTGCAGCAGCACGCCACGCCAACAGCGCACACCAGCTCAGTGAGCAGCGCGGTCAGGAAAGTCACCCCTCCCAGTGGACTGTGCACCTGCTGTCACAGGCTTCTAGTGACCGCCAGTGCTGGTGCTCCGCTCAGGAAGTGCCTGTGGTGGACACTCACAAAGGCAGTTAAGGAACTGGCTCTCATCCAACATTTTACAACTTGCAAGGGATGCAGATCTGCAGAAGCACCAATCTTTCACTTACACTGATCATGTGGCATTTGGAATTCAGGTATATAGTGGCCCTAAGGAGTCACCTTTTCTCTCTCTTGACTACACTGGCAAGGAAATTAAACACGTCGTTCCTACTGTAAAACTACTTTTGCATTTTTATCATACTTAATTATAGAAATATACCTGGGAAGGTGATGGGACCTCTATACTCAGGTTCAGTTTTGATTTTAAGCTGATGGGAGAATGTAGACCATTCCATTTCCCCGAAGGCTCGGCTTTGCTCGTAACAGGGCTGACAGCAGATGCCAGATGTGTAGAGAGAGATGGCAGGAACGTGCAAGTTCTAGAGGCAGATGAGATTTCCAGATCCATGGCAGCCAGGAATACTGAAAGTACAGAAAATACATACACTAGCCTCTTCAGCTCATCTGGGCACATGGGGGGCATTCTGCTCCACAGACTTCAATATGCTCATCCTGATGCCAGCCTGTGTCTGAAGGGCCACACACAGAGCCCTGCCAGACAGCATTTACAATGAACAGCTCTCCTAAGGACACAGCGGCCCCAGGCAGAACCAACCCACCACCCACCTTCCTGGTGCTCTTCTTCTGAGGATGTCTTTGCTTTCTGAACTTGGAGGAGGTCCAGGACAGAGTGGGAGCCACCAGGATCTGGCTGAGCTGGCACATGCCTGGGACAGGCGTGAAGTCTCGGATGAGCAGGAACCAACTGGTTCACTTGAATCCCAACCTAGAATCAGAAGAAAGTATGTTTTTAGGAAAACTGAAGTGAAACGTGAAGTCAACTGAGCAAAATTCTCAGCCAATCCTCTTTTTACATCTTCTGCTCCTGTTACTAGAATATAACGTTAAAGTATTTAATCAGCCTTCTACATGATTTTTACAGAAGTGGCTTCTATACTACCTGGTGAGCAGACAGTCCCTCCACCTTCAGTATCCACTTCTACCCATATACAGCACTCTTCACACAGAACAGCCAAAAAGGAAGCTGCTGTATCTCACCAAAGTTCTTGCCAGCCAAGTTTTTAAAATAAGATTCTAAAAAATTTTAAAAAGCAGATAGTCTACCTGCAAACTTCATATAAAATAAAAAATATTAAAAAATGGGTTTGGGAGTGGATGGGCAGCGGGTACCCTTCAGACATCTGTACAAACAAGCACCCTGCACCAGCACAGAATCAGCACAGCAGAGCCGGGAGAAGTTGAGTCACGGCTGCTGCAGCAGCACCCCAGTCCTTCCACAACGCCCACAGCAGCCAGTAACTACCCTGTACGCACGCGTGCGTGCACACCGGGACCAGCCAAGGTTCATCTTTAAGGAAACTAGGTTTTCACATTCCTGATGCCCTCTTCTAGTCACCCTCATCAGACATACGTTTCTGATTAAAAAGCACCCGATAAGTACAAGAACTGCAGATTCACACTCCTCCCAGTCCCATCTATTTCTAGAGAAACAAGAATAGGAAGCAAGATAATGCATGTAAAATGAGTCCTTGGTTAATTAAAGAAAGTGCTATAAAAACTGAAGATATCAAATTATTCTAGGCAGAAAACAGATTTCAGAACAAATTTGATTTTCTCTGAAAAAGGAGATCGGGTCAGGTGAGAGTTGAGTTTTTTGGTTTCTATCAAAGGAGCTGAAACCTGCAAACAAACCCCACACCCGCCATGGCCAGGTTCTGATCAGGCCTCCAGTGAAAACCATGCTACATACAGAAAGCCTTTTAAATGCTGTGTACTCACCCCTCTCATGTCCGATATGTTTAGCTTCAATGTGTGGAACATGTTCAGTGTGGCCTTTCCAATTACTTTTGCACTGTCTGTTGCCTGGTCGAGAGTCACGGTCCTGTAAGGACAGAAGTAGCTTTTTACAGGGCCGGAGCTGCCCCTGCGCCCACGGGTGTCTCTGCTCCAGGGCACTGCTTACAGTTACAAGGAAGGTGTAAGGAAGCCACAAAAAGCTCACGTAAGTATGAACCAATGAGAGAGTTTTCCCTCAAGGAAGCCAAATGAATTAATTACATTGGCAGCAAAGGGAAAAGAAAATTCATATAGGATATTGGGATTTTAAGAAAAAAACTAATAAAGAACTAGCCAACTAAAAGAAAGTGGAACTTAAAAAAAAAAAGTACTCTAGTTAATACATAAACAAATATAAGCATATTGTGTTGCAGCCAAAGCATGGATGTTAAGTACAATGCTTTTTAGATACCAAGACAAGTTTTAGGTTCCAAGAAAGTTGCAGCGGAATGGTTAATGTTAAGAAGGCAAAGGAGAATCCTTGTATTTTGGTTCCTGACTCTAGTTTTGTTAGTCTGAGGTAAGGCCATTGAATAATCTCAACAAGTGGATATGAGCTCATTACAATCCTACTTTCCCTCAGCTCTGTACACAGAAACGTGTGGACAGCCATGACAAAGGGGACACGGTGGCATGTACATGAGAGAGCCCCCCTCCTTTCACCACCTAGGAGGAGCCTGCCACTCACAGCTAAGGGAGGAGGCACCTCCCTCAAAAGATCCCCCTTCCCGTCCAGACCACACCCCCTTGCTATGGAGGAACCAGATGCGAGCTGGAGGACTCCATTCTGGTGAACCTGTAAGCTAACAGAAAAGATCACAGACACTACCAATGGCTGTGGCCACCCCACAGCAAGCCCCTCCAAACACTCGGCTGTGGTGAAGCCCACAGCTCTGGGCGACCCACTGAGTCCAGAGGACCAAACAGCATCGTCGCAGTTCCCCGGGGGGAGACAGCCAAGCACTGCCCGACAGACACCGGGAGAAAACCTCCTGTAACAGCAGCCAGGACAGGAATAAAGGAATGTGGAGAAACACTCACCCTGGGACTGGATGAGTATTTAAGAGATCAGAGAAAATGCTGCAATGTGAAACACTAGGAATATTTACATGTCCAAAGAACAAAACACAACACTCGGAAATTTAAAATGTTACTAGAAACAAAAGATTTAATGCTGACAAACTCCCTGGCACAAGGAGACAGAGCAGACAATAAAACTCCAGAGCCTGAGACAGAGGTCCTGAGAGCTCAGGAAGGGAAGGGCTGGAATTCTCAGTAGGAATCCTGACAAACTGGAAAAGTGACTTCTAACTCTAAGTTATGTTTATAGCCTTTAAGCCAGCAAAACCCATACAGGTTCAAAAAGGCATCTTGCCAGGCACTCTTCCTCAGTGAGATGGAGGAGGAGGAAACGGATGCACACAGTGCAGGCTTGGCAGGGGGTCTTGAGATGAACCAATCAGCCAGGAGTAGCAGGCTGGGGGACGCCAAGAGACAGGTCTCCCAGAAAAAAAGGTCAAACCAACAGATTGCTGATGTATTGAGACACACTGGAAGGGGTTTGGGAACAACCTCTGGTCAATTCACAAAAAAAGCCAACAAGATACTCAGTAAATCGAGAACAACCTGTTCACCAGGAGAGGAAATGTGTGGATCACTGTACAGTATGCACGCGGCTGTAACAATTTAACACTAGACTGTGACTGATCAAAAAACCGACGACTTTAGGGGGCAAAGAAACAAGCAGACAGGGAAAATAGTCACTGACAACGGAAGAGAGAAGAGGATAAATCCTCATCTGCAGTAGAAAGTCAGTCAACATTTTACAAAACGGAAAGCAGCTAGAAACAGCTGAAGCGTGTCCCTAAAGCATGGAGGCACCACCAGGAGAAACCTCTGAAGCGCAGAAAGAGCAGCACTGGAGCTGGAGGGCCCAGCACGGAAGCACTGCAGGCGGCACCTTTTCAATCAGACGCATTCCTTTGATAAAATACAGACGTACAAACTTCAAACTAACCCACATACACAAAAGAACTCCAACGGGGAAAGATTCTTTCCCAAAAGGAAAAGCGTTGTAGGAAAAACTTTCCTAAGCGAAAATCAAGCCAGATCTCAGTCTCCATGTAGCTCTGACAGGCCATTAAAATCTGTCGTTTCTATTAGTTTCATCTAGTGTCAGAGTCTGGAAGCCACAAGACTGTGGTCAAGGCCACGTACAAGAAATTACAGAATCATGGAATGCGGAGACCAGTTCTTAATTCCCTCAACTGAACAGCACTTTAGTCAGACTACAACGGGAATCCACAAACTTTTCTGTAAAGGGCCAGACAGTAAACACTGGTGCCTGGTAGGCCCCTTCGCAGCCTTCATTTCTCACAAGCCATTGTGACAAGTCATTCTTCCCTCACACCAATCCTATACAAACAAGCACAGGCTGACTAGGCCCACAGGAAGCAATCTGTCACCCCCGGATTAGAGGGAACAGAGACTCAGCATTATCGTATTCCATAATCCCCCACTTCAGCATTTCTTATGCAGTCAGGACACCACCACAATGTTAGGTGTCAGGGGCTGGCTTACAGCTCATCTATATCTTGGTGACGCTTATAAAATGGCACTGTGTCAATCAATTATGTGCTTCTTGTGCATCATCACGTGTCATGCAAGTTAATATGTTAAGAGCACAGCAAAATGTATATTATATTGCTGTGTTTACTAAGCGGAGAGTTCTTATCTTGTTAGAGGTACTAGTAAACATGGACATATTGTGGCGGAAAGGCTATAGCAGCTGGGATGTGCTGCAAAATAATTGGGAGGAGGGGAGGGTGCAGCAGGGGAGCTCACAGCAATGGTTGAAGTCAGGTGATGCGCCCGTGTGGGTTCACTGTACTCTCCTTTCTATTTTTGTATTATATGTTTAAGATTTTCATAAAACATTGTTTCTTAAAAGTTCAGGACAGCCCTAACCGGTTTGGCTCAGTGGATAGAGCGTCGGCCTGCGGACTGAAGGGTCCCAGGTTTGATTCCGGTCAAGGGCATGTACCTTGGTTGCGGGCACATCCCCAGTAGGGAGTGTGCAGGAAGCAGCTGATCGATGTTTCTCTCTCATCAATGTTTCTAACTCTCTATCCCTCTCCCGTCCTCTCTGTAAAAAAATCAATAAAATATATTAAAAAAAAAAAGTTCAGGACAAAAAAAGAAACAAATACCAACAGCAGCAAATAGACACGTGCTTATAAAAAAGCCAAATAATTATCCTGAGTCAGGGGGAATAAAATATCAATTTCAGTTTTTTAAATGTTGTAATTACATTTCTGGAGAATCAGCGTTTTTCCAAAGAGAATGATCAGCAGGCTGATTTTCTTAATAAGATTAGACAGAGGGAGCCCCTAAGCACTGCTGAATATACCACAACATACAATGCTAAGTAACGATATGACATTTAAAAGTGCGGACATGCCAAGAGGAAACGAACTGCTACCAGTTCCCCTTCCAAAGAATTATTTCAGTTTTGGATGTTCCTTTCCATGTATCTTGAAAAAATAAAGCTCCAGGTTACATTCCCAGAAAATGTATTATTATAAACTGTTCCTATAGAAACTATGTTAAAAAAAACTTATATCCAGAGTAGAGTCCTAATAACCAACTTATTATAGAAATAACCAGAGGCCAGGTGCATGAAATCGTGCATGGGTGGGGTCCCTCTGGGTGACCTGCAGAGATCGAGCTGAAACCCGCAGTCCAACGCCACCTGCAGCTCCTATCTGCTGCTCCCGCTCATCCCGGCCCCACTGTGCCTGCCACAGGCTCGCACCCAATCAGTCTGCATCTGGCACCCTCCCAAGGGGAGTGGTGTGCAGGATCAGGTTGAAACCGACTCTCCGACATCTTCCAAGGGGTCCCGGATTGCAGGAGGGTGCAGGCCAGGCTGAGGGACCCCACCAGTGCATGATCAGGCTAGGGAGGGACCACAGGAGGGCTCCAGGGCATGTCTGGCCCATCTCACTCAGTCCGGATCAGCTGGACCCCAGCATCAAGCTAACCTACTGGTCAGAGCATCTGCCCCCTGGTGGTCAGTGCACATCATAGTGACTGGTCGACCAGTTGACTGCTCCCTGGTGTTCAGTGCACGTCATAACAAGCAGTTGAGCAGCCTTAGCATACCAGCATATTACACTTTGATTGGTTGTTCAGTTGTTCTGCCATTTGGTCTATTTGCATATTACCCTTTTATTATATAGAATAAGAAACTACCATTTGAAATAGGTAATTAAAGGTTCATTAAAATAGGTAAACAGAGTTCAAAATTATCCGATTGCATAAAAATGTATTTTATAAATTACGTTGTTCAATGGGTAATTTGTAACCCGTTTTCCTGGTAAACAAAGGCCTTCATGATAAAGCTGGAAGTTTTCTGTGGCTGACAGCATCCTCTTGTCCCCCTCAGCAGCATCTCTATAAAAAATGTGACTGTAATCATGTTTGGAATGAACTCTTTCTTTACATCTATGTGGCTTTCAGGAACCAAAGTCTTAAAGCTGTGGTTGCCCAGCAGATATAAAACAGTGTGCAGAGTGGCATAAAGTGATGTGCAAAAAACTAAATATTTTCATACTAGTCTCAGCTCTTAACTGAAGTTTTATATTTGTGGCTCCTGCAATTAAAAAAACTCATTTTAAAATGCATTCTACCAGTTTTCAGAGACTACAAGGATTAATCTTTTCATGAATAGAAATGAGACCTCTCTCAATGAGGAAACGTCTCATTCAACTCATTTATTGAATGACTATATTGAAATTTCCCAACAGGTCCCTCTCCCCAAGTCCACAACCATCTGTGGGTACAGGTGTTAGGCCTTTCCTGTCCTTCCTGTCCCTGCACTAAAGTCAACGGCCTGACCCCAAAGCTAGGCCACCAAAGGTCAGGAACACGTGGACAGGCTGACCCTGATCAAAGCAACTTAATTCAAAGATGGCCCCAGGCTGAGCCTGCCTCTACAGAGTATCACATACCATCGGAGTTTACAGATCTCTATTCATACTTTTCCTTGGTTTTTATTAAATACTAGAGGCCTGGTGCACGAAATCCGTGCATGGGCGGGGTGGGTCGGGTCCCTCAGCCCAACCTGCGCCCTCTTGCAATCCAGAACCCTTGGGGGATGTCTGACTGCCGGACATCTCTTTCTCTCAATCCGGGACTGCTGGCTCCTAATCGCTTGCCTGCCTGCCTGCCTGATCGCCCCTAACCGCCTCTGCCTCAGCCCCCACACCCAGGACCCAATTTTCCATCCTCCGGCCGGCCACAGGCAACCAGGACCTGAGTTTCCCTCCCTCTGGCTGGCCGCCGGCACCTGGGACCCAGGCTGGCTTCGTCCAGGCCAGCCACAGGCACCCGGGACCCTGGGTGGTGCTGCCGGGTCTATCCAGTCTAATTAGCATATTACCCTTTTATTAGTATAGATAATAACCTGCACTGAAATATTAACACCCAATATCCTTTTAAAGATAAGCTTACCTGGCGATGTGATCACAAATTCCATGGCCTCCAAATTTTGCAGTTTCTACAGGGGCCCCCGGCTTCCGTACCATTATTTTGAGAGTCAGGCGTTTACCCTTCATGCCAGCAGCTTCAAGCCGTCTTTGAATTTCCTCTGAAAGACTCAGAAGGAAAGCTTCTGCTTCTTTGGGCTATGGAAAGGCATACACAGAAAACTCCCACATTATTTTCCTATAGACCTAACAATTCCAACATTATGCATACACATTATTGACTATTTTGCTAAGCATTTGTTTAAAAAGATTCTACAAGCTCTAGGGATAGCAAATATTTGAAGAGTTAATGTCAAGCACCAAGTCTGGTCTAGTTACAAGATAAGACAATGTGAAAACATAAAGGACAGCCTAAGGTAAACCTATGAAGTGATCAGTACCTGGGTAAACCTTATTCCATAGTTGATCTCAGCTGAAATCGATTTTCTTTCCTTTTCGGTTCGAACTGGTCTGTCATCCAAACCTCGGCAGAACCTGTACAGCATCTGCCCTGTCTTGGGACCAAATTCCCTCTGGAGTCTTGCCATGGTCATGTACTGCAGGTCTCCACAAGTCTTAATTCCCAAAGATGCCAGTTTGGCCTCCATGGACCGTCCCACTCCTAGGAAAGAGCCCATATTGAGTTTAGTTGTACACATAAACTAAGAAAAACAATGAATTTGAATGAAAATTTCATATTGAAATTAATTTTTAATTATTACATTAATTTAACAATTTAAATATATTAATTTAAAATAATCTCCCTTAAAATTTTTTAAAAGAACTGATCCTTTGTTTATTGACATTGTTTATCATCAATCTCTCCTTTTTTTTTGGTTTTGTTTTGTTAATCCTTACCCGAGGATATGTTTCCCATCGATTTTTTTAGAGAGAGTAGAAGGGAGGGTGAAGAGACAGAAAGAGAAACATCAATGTGAGAGGGACACATCGATTGGTTGCCTCCCTAGTGCCTCGACTGGGGTTGGAGATTGATCCCACAACCGAGGTATGTGCTCTTGACCGGAATCGAACCTGTGACCCTTCAGTCTGCGGGCCAATACTCTAACCACTTAGCAACGCTGGCTAGGGCTTTTTGTAAAATTGTTGACAGCATTACAGATGTCTCCCATTTTCTCCCTTTTTGCCCCACTCCTCCCACCCCCTGGCCCACCCAAGGCCTTCTCCATACTATTGTCTGTGTCCATAGGTTATGTACATAGGTTCTTCCATTCTTCCCACTTCTCCCACTGAGATCTGCTATTCTTATTCATGCAGCCATACCTCTGGACCTGTTTTGTTCATCAGTTTATTTTTAGGTGACATAATCAAAGCATCTCATAGGTTAAAGAATTTTTCTGTGTAAATCTTGCTAGTAAAGTCATTTCTAGAATCTTGTTCTCAATTTGGGATACACATATAGGTGAGCCAGAATTTCTCAAATATGTAGAGGTCTCAAAAGAATACTGTTTTTACTTATTACTGAGTAATGTTCAAAATTTCTACCTTATTCACAGAATCAACTAATTTAGCTATAGTAGGATTTTACAGACAGATGAGGAAACTCATGTTAGGATTCTATTATGATTTTGGTGATGGCAAAAGTTATAGCCCTAGCCTGTCTGGTTCAGTGGAAAGAACGTCGGCCTGCAGATTGAAGGGTTCCAGGTTTGATTCCAGTCAAGGGCATGTACCTCAGCTGCAGGCTCAATCCCTGGCTCTGGTTGAGGCATGTGCGGAGGCAACTGATCGATGTGTCTCTCTCTTACCAATGTCTCTCTCCCTTCCACTCTCTCTAAAAATCAATGGAAAAATATCCTCAGGTCAGGATTAACAAAGAAAGTTTAGGATACAGTTCCAACCACATTTTCTTTCTTTTTTTTTAATTAAATCTTTATTGTTCAGATTATTACATTTGTTCCTCTTTTTCCCCCCCATAACTCCCCTCCTCCCAGTTCCCGCCCCACCCTCCGCCCTCACTCCCCACCCACTGTCCTCATCCATAGGTGCACGATTTTTGTCCAGTCTCCTCCCGCACCCCCTACACCCGTCTCCCCCACAAGAATAGTCAGTCCATTCCCTTTCTATGTCCCTGATTCTATTATGATCACCAGATTATTTATTCACTTGATTCTTAGATTCACTTGTTGATAGATGCATGTTTGTTGTTCATAATTTGTATCTTTACCTTTTTCTTCTTCTTCCTCTTCTTAAAGGATACCTTTCAGCATTTCATGTAATACTGGTTTGGTGGTGATGAACTCCTTTAGCTTTTCCTTATCTGTGAAGCTCTTTATCTAACCTTCAGTTCTGAATGATAGCTTTGCTGGATAAAGTAATCTTGGTTGTAGGTTCTTGGTATTCATCACTTTGAATATTTCTTGCCATTCCCTTCTGGCCTGCAAAGTTTCTGTTGAGAAATCAGCTGACAGCCGTATGGGTATTCCCTTGTAGGTAACTGAGTTTCTTTCTCTTGCTGCTTTTAAGATTCTCTCTTTATCTTTTGCTCTTGGCATTTTAATTATGATGTGTCTTGGTGTGGTCCTCTTTGGATTCCTTTTGTTTGGGGTTCTCTGCGCTTCCTGGACCTGTAAGTCTATTTCTTTCACCAGGTGGGGGAAGTTTTCTGTCATTATTTCTTCAAATAGGTTTTCAATATCTTGCTCTCTCTCTTCTTCTGGCACCCCTATAATTCTGATGTTGGTACGCTTGAAGCTGTCCCAGAGGCTCCTTACATTATCTTCGTATTTTCGGATTCTTTTTTCATTTTGCTTTTCTGGTTGGGTGTTTTTTGCTTCTTCGCATTTCAAATCTTTGCCTTGATTCTTGCGCTCCTCTGGTCTGCTGTTGGGAGTCTGTATAGTATTCGTTATTTCAGTCCGTGTATGCTTAATTTCTAGTTGGTTCTTTATCATAACATCGAGGGTCTCATTAGTTTTCTTGAGGATCTCACTACATTTATCGGCGGCTTCTAGACAGTTCTTAAGAGACCTTAAAAGTGTGGTTCTGAACTCAATATCCTCCATTGACAGTTTTGTCCTGTTTCTTTGTCTCCGCATTTTTTATGCTTTCTTGGTGCACCCCCTAGTGGTCTTTGTGCGCAGTCTTGTTGTAGTTAAGCCTTGATTGTTGTAGGCAATACCGGGGGTGATTTGACCTCCAGGCTAACTGGCTATGAGAGTCCGCTGTGTCTCCACATTTTCTTTAAATGGGCAGTAGAACAAGAACTTACAACACAGGCCCAAACCTGGACAAGGGGTACCAGTGATCTAGGGATGAAGGTCCCTAAGAAACCGAGAGGCAGAGAGGGCGGGGGGTGGGGGGGTGGTGGTGACAGATTTCTTTTATAAACAAAGATTACCTCCCAGGAAAGGTACTACCTTTCTACAGATGGCCAGCATGCACTAGTCCCTATGTCGCCCTGTCCAAAATGCAAGGGGGACCTTCACCCATAGGAAGCTGATGGGATCTGTTGCTTTCAATTTGCCTGAAAGTTTAACAAAGGAATACATATTTAAGAAAGATATTTGAGAGTAACCAAAGGGAACTAAAAGTCTTATTAAAATGGCCTCCAAACCACCAAATCAGTATTTTTTCATCAATGAGGAGACTGCATTCCTGGTCTTCTGCAGGATCTTATCAGAGACCCCAGAGTGCAATGTGACATTTGCTCGTCACTGTCACTCGGCCCCTCGGAGTGGCTTCAGTGGAAGGAACACCCAGCCTAGTCCACCTTGTGCCAGGAGAGCCTCTGTAGCAGTAATGCATGACACAGGTTAGGAGGCCGTCACCCTCACAAGAGGCCTATGGCCATGGAAGGGGGCTAGACGAGATTCAACCAGAACTGATTCCCTAACAGAAGCTAGAAGATGTTGAGGGTGCTGCCTCCCATTTTGAAGTTCACGTCAGAATAGAGAAAAAGTAAGAATACCAGAGTCTGAGTTAACAATTACAACAAATCTTCCAGGGGAACACCGTTCAGAAAAGGTGAAGTTCCAGGTGAAACGCTTGAATATTCTCATATACTAGATTGGCCAAAGACAGACACTTTCCTATTCAGGCTCAGAGAAGGCTTTTTGTCTCAGTTTTTTCCTTCTCATCACTGCCCTGCTCTCCACTCTCAAAACGTAACCATGCTCTTTCCCTTACAGATCTGGGAGCCAATCTGTTCTCCGTGACTTGCGAAGTCAGTAAGAGGTGACATTAAAGTGTGTGTGCTGTGTGTCGGGGAGGGGAGGAATAGGAAACCTATAGTTTTTGAGAGTATCTTGAGTACACCAAACAGAATTATTATTCACTAATAGGTACAAAAGAAAGGCTATTATATTAAACTATCAAATTAGCCACAATCAACTGAATCTAACAGAACTGTCCTGTAGGAAAGCAGAAAAGATCCTCTCTATTGCATGCTCACCTACTGCAAGGAGAGTGGCCTGAAGTCCAGTGTGGGAGGGAGGCATGGGGGTGGGTCAACCTCTAACCCCTATCACCTGCAGTGGGGCGGAAAAGTTAAGCTTGGAATCAGCACCAAACCCCGAGAGGGTGGCTAGTTTAACTGACTGTATCATATAAGTGTTTATAATGAAAGGAGGTGTGGCTAAGGAGAAAGTAACAGAGTCTTAAGACTCATACTGAAGACAGCCACCTAGAAAGGAAAAAGTGAAGAACAATATGCTAACTTAGAACCAAGTCTCAGAGTCTCAGGAGAGAAGAAAATCAGATGTGGGAGCTCCTGGTCAAGCCACTGGGACCAGGCCTTGGTACTTGCCTTGAATGGGAACCATTACTTTAGATTAGAAAAGGCCACCAACGTCTCCTCCTCACCATCAGACAGCGACAGCCCAACAGAGCCACACGAGAGTAGTTTTGAGAATAAAGTTTCACCACCTAAGTGAGCGCTGTCCAACAGAAGTGTCTGTGATACTGCACACGTTCTGTACGTGCGCTGTTCAACCCAACAGGCACTTGCCCATGTGGCTAGTTCACCCGAGGAGCTGACTTTCAGTTTCACTTCACTTTAACACGTGTTGCTAGTTCCCTTTGGCTACCCTATCAGGACAGCATGGACCTTTCTGCACAGCTACATGTTCATGCATTTCTCTGAGAATAGAGGTGGGAACTAAGTGCACAGCCCAGAGTCGGCTGAACAGGTAGAGAGGGCCCTTAAATTGGGCACATGCACAAGATAAAGAGTCTTGCAAAGATCTTAAGAACACACAGAAACACCTATTGCATTTACATAGTTCTTGGGGACAGTCCTGTCTTTCAATAGATAAACAGATCTCACTGAGTAATGTATTTCTGAGCCTAACATATAATCATTAATCTGTGGAGTTCCCTAAAGTAAACGTAACTAGTGTGTTTTTCCTTCTCATGTAGCTACCATAACTGCGTATTACTGTGCGAGTAACAACACTATGTGCTAAAAATTTAGGGCCAAAGAAAGCTTGTGGAAAACAAGGAGTGAGGTTTGTAAACACTGAATTTCTTCTGGTTATTGGTCAAAGAGCATAATTTCCTCAAAGCATGTTCCGCAAGATGTCAATAGGTATTACATATCCATCTTCAAATATTTTGGGGAGATTACCAGTTTTTAATAAACATAAACAGGTGTTTTTACTGTAA